ATATATATATATATATACATATATATATATAAGCGCGCGCGCGCGCGCGCGTGTGTGTGTGTGTGTGTATTTAACAAGAATGAAAAAATAATTCAGCAAATTTTTTTATGAATACGAGATTGACAAGTTCAACAATTTTCAAATATCCACTAAAAATTTCTTGTATAATAACATTGTAAACGCTTGACAAATGGGGAACAATGTGCTTTAATATATGTACATTTCTTATAAATAAAAAGATACGCCTGTATTTGTCTTGTATGTTAAAAAAAATCTTGATTCATGTTTTTGTCATGCGAATTTAAAAAACATGGATAGGCAAAACCTCTCTTGTAGACTTGTTACAAACAAACATAAATTTACCCTACGAACGATTGAGCTCTTACATAACTTTGGACGTCGACGCAAATGTTAAATTGAAAGTGGATTAGAAATAACATTGTTATTTCGATTTAAATATCGATGATTTTCGAATGCGATAGAGACAATTCTTATCACTCTTGAGTTTGATTCTTCAGCTATACCAAATCTGCATGAACATGCACATAGTTAATTAAAATCAGAAATCCGGATAGCAAAAACAATACGGATTATTTTCTTAATGTTCGTATCGTTTAGTGGATGCTACTTTCACAGTTGCATTTTCATTTAGAAGTGCCTTGGTGTGCCATAGGTCGCAGTACGTCATTCGTGAATGACTGGCTATATAGCTATATAAGAAATTCGTGTACACTTTGCAACATAGTAGCTGCCCGTATTACGGATTCTGTATTAGAAAGCAAGCCACAACATCGAATTTTTTTTACAGACCATAATCGACACATCTTAAGCGTATAACGGTGAACGGAACTCTGTTCGTTACAATGGGTCTGTTTTTTATTCCTGCACTAGAATTTTTTTCTCACTTTAACCAAATATTAAACATATATTTATTTCACTTTTGAGTTCCAAAAGTGTATACTAGTTCAGTTATAAAAAACAGACTTATAATGCTTTTGCAAATCATGATTACAGTCTCACGATCTCATTTTTCCGTTTTTTTTTTTACTATAGAAAACGCGTGTATACAAAAACGCATAAACTGATCTCAAACTATCAGCTTTACATTCTTTCTCAGCAATAACTTTACATTCTTCCCCAGTGAAGTGATATTGCTGAGCAATCTTTCCCTGAATTGATTTATACATAGGAAATAGATCATATAGAGAAAGAAGTGTATATAAAATCTAGTACTTGGGATTACTTAAGCGTTCAATGTTAAAACATGATTTGTATTATTATGTTGTACCTTTTAACCATCCAACCATCACTTAATTACCAATATGCCACGCTTCTACTAATTAATTATTTAGATGATTATTTCACAATAAAATTTAAGAAGCGAGTAATACATGCAAAGGGAAATTTAAAAGAAAAAGTAGCAAAAGAGACTTTTACAATGAGCATAAGTGCACTGCAATATAGTTTATCGAAAATTAACGTTTTAAATTATTAATAAAATTTCATTGATGGGGATGTTTCCTCCGCCTTCTTATGGTCTTATTATTCACATCTGTCCCTGCCCATTAATTGCTATAAGTAAAATCATATCTCTTTTTACCGTTAACCGAAATCTATACCGTAGTACATGTAGAACTGCGGATCACGTTTCGAGGGACGCAGTAATTACAAAGTTTTTTCGATTGATCGATCAGGCTACGAGAGGAACGGATTAGCCGTAGTTGTATTCGCTGTCCATGGATCCTGTCGAATCTGATTGATTGTAGGACGGGGTGGTGGCGTCACAGTTGCAAATGGATTTGCTGAATATGAGATGGTTGCTGTAAAATCATTCGTTTGTTAGTATAAAATAATTTTTGTTGCTCATGAAGATAGTTCAATCATTTAAACGCTTTTGAATATATGATGTCCAACATAAATCAATATCTTAAAAATCTAAAATAGATATTACTTTTTGATCTGGAAATAATAAGAGGCATTTTTATATATACAGGGTGTACCGCAATTGTTGACAAAGCGGATTAAATTGAATCGAAACTAAGTCCTTTACCATTTTACAATTTTCACAATGTTAACGAGATATTAATTTATGAAAATAGCCAAATTCGCCCGACCTACCGCCAAATACAAGTGCACGGCTATGATGGAATTAATAAAATGAAACATTGTGCATAATGGCAGTAGCGATACTGGAAATAATCAAATATGTCCCAATATGCACTTATATATATATATAT